GGTTTAATGATCAGGACAAGCAGAGACTCATGAACAACCGTCACAAAACACACAAACAGGAAGATACAGACATCAGAAGAACTGAGAGCATGGAAACGTGGACTACGTCTCAGTATCTGTGACGTGAAAGAGCTTCATCACGACAGGACTATGATTTATTTTTAAATGACAGTGCCGGCCATTTACACAAGATGTGCAAATCACAGAGCTGCTGTTTCTGTTGTCCATTCTGAGCACAGATTAAGAGTCAGAAAGGTGACGCACATCTGAGTCTGAACCCAAATGACGTCCAACAAAACAAAGGCTTACAGGAGAAAACAGCAGAAACACGACACAACGGCAGGGATGCGGGAAGAACAGCACGCCACCGCTGACGATACCTGCCAGGTCATGAAGCAGGTCAACGATCAGGTGACCCACAATCGCATACGTGACCAGAACCAGCAGCAGCAGTCCCACAGTGATGTACAGCACATGCGGCGGCACAGAGATGGAGTCTCGCGCCGGAGGCCTGTACTCCACGTACGGAGACGCGTCTGACCCGTGAGACTGCAGCAAACGCTGAGAACCCGCGGCCCACGAGAGCCTCTCCTCTGCAGAACCAGACGAGGAGGAGAGAGCGTCCATGCTGACAGCGTCCGTCCCGTTCAACATTCAACACTCCTGCTAACCAACAAATCTGCTGTTCAGAAAATGAGAACCAGAGAGAGAGAGAGACATATAGGGCAGCACACTTAATTACAGCTCCCGACATAAAGAAATAAAGAAGGTTTTAAAGTTTTCTAATCACAAACAATATCTGCCTGGATTACAGGGGAACGATTGAGCCGCAGAGAACGAGGAGAAGATTAAGCCTGTTTTAATCAAATCCTGAATCCACCAGCGTGTGTTCCAGCACACCGAACATTCCCCAGATTAGGAGAACCACGTCCAGAGATTCCCATCTAATCCAGCAAAGGAGAGAATAATGGGCAGGTAGGAGCGTGTCATTTCTGCAGCACCAGCGTCACACTTCACACCACAGACGCTACAGTAATGTAGAACCGAGAGAAACCTGCAACTCAGACACAGTTCTTACCTTGACACTTAATTTCTTTGTGCACATGATGTGAGACTAAAGTCCTCATGCTACCGAGCCGTGCCGCTCTGTCTACTCCGGACACACTTCATCTGGATTGTCTGAATTTAACCTCATCAGCTCATATAAGAGAAAGGTCCACTCCACGACTGTGATGCTGATGTTGAGCACGACGATCAAAACCATGAGCCAGTGCAACATGCTGGTGTTCTGTGGAGTGTCTCTGCGCGAGATGCTGTCCTGCTATAATCCACTGATCACACTTGAAAACGCTGTCATATGCATCTCCAAAACTAATCCAACTGTTTATCTAATAATCCTTCAGCTCAGATCCCATCTGCACTGCTTACAAGCCCCCCCTGGACCCCCAGCAGCTCAGTCTCTTCTGATGAGCTGAATCAGGTGTTAGATGCGGGACACACAACTCCTGCAGCGCTGGACCGTCTCCGAGCAGAACCACACATGGGATGCTTTTCATGCGTCATCAGTTATTTCATTTCTTCTCTCAGGTGAAATAAAGCGATATGACCAGCAACTCTTTCTTAGAAAACGGCCATTTGCGTCTCTGTGACAAACATTATTTGACTCTTTTTAGTGTGTGATGCAAAGAAATGCATTCATGTTTTCATTAGATCATCAGACAATTAGCATGTCTCCATTCATCATATAAAAACCCTTAAGTGTATTTGAGAAAATACTTACAGTACTGACTGTAATAATGTGTCCTCAACCTCTCAAATATTCTGAATATAACCGCTGCACAAGGGTTTCAAAGAGAAGGGTTAAAAATATTTTCCTGCAATTACAATGTAGTGCTGAAGGTTTAATAACAAAATATAAGAGTTTGAGAAAAGCCCATTAAGAAGCCATATTTATTTACTGTTAATCTGAAAGTTGATGAACTGTAGTGAAATGACTGAAAAAAGGCACCACTTTCTACTGGACAAGTTGTTTCTTCAAGAAATATCCTATCTAAAAAGTTTTTAAAAAACAATAAACAATCTATGCACATAGTAGTGATTATATAAGTGAGGGAAAGTTGTAACACATTGAACCGTGAGGCTGTTTTCCTCTTACCTGTAAATGAACAAGCGCTCCACAATTCCCAAACGGTGCGTCTGTTACAGAACAGGACGAAAGAAAGGCTGACAGAAAACTTAAAACTGAAAGGGAAGCGGTCTGTAGCTGCAGGCGTCTGACGCAGAGGAGACTCTCTATGAAGCTGTGTGAGATCTGCATGCTGACGACTCTACGCCGGAGACACGGCCGCCGCGGCTCTGGCCTCCTCCGTCTCAGCCTCTTTGAAGAAGACCTCCGACATCAAGAAGGTCCAGAAGATGATGCTCATGGACGTGTTGACGATGACCATGAAGATCATGAGCGGATGCAGCATGCTGGCGGTGGATGAGCTTCGGCTGAACAGGAGCGTGTGGCGAGCGTCGTCTCTCCAGAGACGCAGGTAATCTGGCTGTAAGGAGTGACCGCAGACAGAGTTTCAACACTCAGCCTCACCACATATGATCCCAGCAGAACATATGATCACTGTGACCGGACGCTCATCTACAGGTCCTACAGTATATCTTCGAGAACTTCAAATGACCCTTGACCTGAATACACCCGTCTTCCCTGATATTATCTCAAGACAACAGGAGATATAATCCTCAACCTAATCTTGTGCCAGATTTCACTGCTTATTCTTAATCTAAACCCTCAGAGACAGATGGCATGTTATGATGAGCACTGTTAAAGGGATGGTTCACCCAGAAATGACCATCCTGTCGTCGTCTAAGCTCCGTTCTAACCCGTGTCATGTTTGGAAGGCGAAAGAAGATATTTTTAAGAACAACGGAAACAATAACGGACCACATTGACTTTTATTGTATGGACAAAAACATGACACCAACAAACATCAATTCAAACATCAGGCAGAATATGATCATAATGAGAGGCAACATTACTGTTTATGTTTAATGATTTAAAAGAATGCCAGCAAATGATTATTAAAACATCCACACAGCATTAGAAAGCACAGTACAAAGATGTGACGTTCACAGTCTTTATGAAGAAGAACATTTCTTTCACACTTATCTGTATCTTCAGGATCTTTCCTCTTCACTAAAGTCTCTTTTCTTCATGATGTTTGAGTCTCAGTGTGTTTGATTCAGCTGCTGATGTATGAATAAGTTCTGCTCAGTTTCACACAGGTGTAGAGAATCACATTAACTAACAACACCATCCACTAGCTGGAGCCCAGCTCTGCACGACTCATTTCAGGTCTTGGAGTAGGCTTGTTCGAGACGCATGAAGCACCGCCAGAGCGATTCAAAAGCATAAAGAGCCACCTGCTCTTGCGGTGCTTTGTTGTCACACGCCGATGCATCTCGAACAAGCCTACTGTCTGCTGATGATCTGAATCAGGTGTGTTTGATTAAAGAGACGAGAGAGCTGGGCTCCAGGAATCACTGCACTAACTAACCCACAAACACACTGCTGACAGCAGCTCAGAGCCGTGTGTCTTTCTGTACAGTTCATTACTCTCGCTGTGATGTTCTGCATTCAGATGTGACTGAAGTGAACAGATGAGATCAAGTTCTGGAAAACACAGCACAAAACAGAGGAGGAGAAGAGCCAGAGCACGGCAGCGCTCAAGGACGGCAGGCTGTTCACAGACACGCTCGATGTCTGTCTCAGCAGGCCAGCGTCCGCTGCTGGTTCTCCTGCTGCAGGAAGTACTGGCAGAACAGCGCTCGGACTTCCTCTCCGTCGTGGTCGTCAGAGGCGGGTGACACCTCGTCTGCGGGCTGCGGACTCTCCTCGTGACGCACCGCCTCCTCCCAGCGCTCGATGAACTCGTCTCCGTGCACCTCGCACACGTTGTGCAGCACGCAGCAGGCCAGGATCATGGTGGGAATCACGTCCATGCGGCAGTCGTTCCTCTTCAGCAGACACTGCCAGCGCGCTCGGAGCCGCAGGAAGGCCTCGTCCACCACGCCGCGCGCCCGCTCCAGCTTACGGTTAAATGCTCTCTGAGCGTCCGAGAGCGCGCCGGACTCCGGAAAGCTCTTCAGCAGCCAGCTCTTCAGAGGGTATCCGGCGTCTCCCAGCATCAGATATCCCAGCGGCCGGCCCATGAAGTCCAGCGGCGGCTCGTGCAGCAGGAACCCGTCGCAGCCGCGTGCCCACAGCGTGGAGTTCTGCAGGATGGCCGAGTGCTCGGTGCTGCCCGGGAAGCCGGCGCACACGTCCCAGAACTGCCCCAGCCCGTTCACAGCGCCCTGAGTGACCACCGACAGCCAGCCGCGGCTGTTCCAGTAGCTGTGCGTGTTGCTGGATGGAGCGATGATGGGCACGTGGAGGCTGCCGACCGCTCCCACGCAGTGAGGGAAGCCCCAGCGCGAGGCGAAGAGTCGTGCAGCATCCTCCAGCTCCTGCTCGCTCGGGGAGCGCAGGTACAGCGGCCGCAGCAGCAGCACGATGGCATGACACACGTCTCGCACACACTTGCAGACGGTGGAGCGGCCCACGCCAAACAGAGCGCTGATGGTGCGGTACTCCACGTTAGAGGCCAGACGCCACAGAGCCACGGCCACACGCTTCTCCAGCGGCAGCGCCGGACGCAAACGGGTGTCCTGACGGCTCAGCCGCGGCTTCAGCTTTCCGCACAGCAGGAAGAACGTCTCTTTAGTCATGCGGAACTTCTCCAGCCAATCGGAGGGCTGGAACTCCCTCATGACCACACGCTCCCACCAATCGGTGCTCTCGATGCTGCTCCAGACCCGCGTGGGGCGCGCCGGCGGGCCACCGACCGGACGAGACGTTTGAGCAATCATCATCTGTGAGAGGAAACAGCTCTGTTAGAGAATGTCTCGTATTCAGATTATATGAAGAAGTTCAAATAATTTTTGCAGTAATGAGCAAAATGAAGTATTTTCTTAAATATAAATGTAAACACAGTATTAAAGGGATGGCTGATTGTGTTTATGGGGTGCAGTCTAACATGTGTTGATGCAGTATTTTTCACATAATTTACCTTTATTCTAAACGCTCTCATGATTTCCTGTTATTATGAAGCCCTCCCTCAGGGGCGTAACTTTGCAGATATTGTTTGTTCAAACAGCAACTTTACACACTAACTACAGTTCAAGTTAAATCACAATCAACCACCCCTTTAGAAAAGCTTGCTCGTCAGACCGAGGAAGACGCTTCTGAAGCCTCTGGAGGCGCGTCTCTCACCATGATCATCCTCTTGTGTCGCTGCTGGAAATAGCGTCTGTGCGCCACGCGCCGCTGAACCTCGCGTCTGCGCTGCGCGTCTGCGCTGGTGACGTCACGCCGCCGCTTCAGCAGCACGTAGCTGAGCGTGAACATCAGCGAGCGCAGCGTGTCGTCGCTGGCCATGATCGCGCCGTGTTCTCAGCCCGGGGTCCGAGCGCGATGTCTTCCACGACGCGCCGCGATCGCTCTGCTTACTCCGCGCACGCTATGCTATTTCATCATTATCAGCGCTGGCCCTGCTAACGCGCTCCTCACGCTTCTTCTTCTTCTTCTTCTTCTGCGCCTCTGCTCATGTGACGTCACGCCGCAGCGCCGCCTGCTGGCCTGACGTCATCAGAGTTGCCCTTTTTTGAATTGCTTTGCATTTCAACATCAACAAACAAAATAGTCCTCACAGACTGAGATATTCAGAGGAATCATACTATAACAGAGAAGCAATGCCTACCAGAAATACAATACAACTTAATAACCATAAACAATGTAAGGGTTTAAACAAAATCACACTTAATAAACAAATCAAATAATTTCTCGGCCTACTCATAATGTTCATAAAATCTCAAAAGACCTCTGTATACATGGCTAGCTCATTTTTAAAGACATTAAACTGGGGTGCTGCTTTCAAAACTTTACATTTGTGAATAAAGCATTTTAATATAAAAAGTAAACCATTTACAACAAAGTCTGCATTTTTGTCCAACAATACTCTGTTTTATCCAACTACCTACTTCAGTCCAAAATGAATGAACCAAACTACAATAAAGAGAGACGTTCAGCAGTTTCTACATCATCATCATCATCATCATCATTATTATTATTATTATTATTATTATTATTATTATTGGCCAGCTTCACACCGCAGCAGAATACGGCTCTTTAGTGTCTGTGACGTCACCCAGGTATATGAAGACTTGACGGAAACCCCCGAGGCTCGTCGGATCTGCTCGTGCCCGTCTGTCAGTGTTGCTATGGGTACTAGATACGGGCTTGTGTTGCTATGGGTACTGGATACGGGCTTGTGTTGCTATGGGTACTGGATACGGGCTTGTGTTGCTATGGGTACTGGATACGGGCTGGTGTTGCTATGGGTACTGGATACGGGCTTGTGGTGCTATGGGTACTGGATACAGGCTTTTGTTTCTATGGGTACTGGATACGGGCTTGTGTTGCTATGGTTACTGGATACTGGTTCAGACAGACAGACGCACACCTGTAAGTCCCAAAAACTGACAACAAAAGTGTCAAATCATCTTTTTTTACACACTGAAAATTAAATTTCATGCAGAAATCACAAAACAGCCATTCTTATCCATAATGTGCAGCACTGACCACATGCCTCTGAAAATAAAGACTTTCTTTTAAAGCTGCAGTCCGTAACTTTTTTTGGTTAAAAATCATCAATATTTGAGCAAGTGCATGCCCAGCCAGTGCTCCAAACCCTGTCGTGTGATTACAGTACCAGAGTAAATGTAAAATAATTTCATCGTGCTCAGCGGGTAGCTTATAATAATGCTTAGGGTTTCGCGGGAAAGTCAAGCATGCGATACATTTACACACACTTACAGAAATAACATTTATACAGACACTTTTTATCTGTCGGTGTTATTCAGCGCATGAACACATGTCACATACTTATAAAACATGCCATTTTCAGATTTCATATCAGTAGGCTGAGCACGATGAAATTATTTGACATTTACTCTGGTACTGTAATCACACGACAGGGTTTTGGAATAGTTTTTGCGGGTTTGTGACTGGTTTTGTGTGCTCTCAATTGTCTTTGTTTGGGATTTTTTTATTTTTGTTATACATTTTCTGACAAAGAGCTTTATCTTATAACTGTGTTACTTCTGGCCAAATATCATATCCACAAGTGTGTTTCTTCAGTAATAAGCCACATTTTAAAGCGTTTTTACATAGATATGGGTTTTTAAAGAGTTGCAACAATATTTTGAAACAGTCTGTGCTATTTTCAGGCTTCCCCTTTGAAATTGTTACTTTGTGTTTATCGATCTATCTATGCATTCATGTGTTTATTTGATAGTCTATTATTATTATTATTGTTATATATCTATTTCCCTCTTTAACCTCCGTGTTTATTTTATGAATCGCTTTATATAGGTTAGAAAGCGGTGTTCTTTCCCCGGCGCGTATCTTTGTTCCTGATGTTCTGTTATACTGTCTTTATATTTGTTGATTGACTGATTAATAGTAATTTAGTATCAGCTTCTGACCGCTTCCGCCTTCCGTGTCCATGACAACAGATCGCTTCTCGCGTCAGCAGCGTCTTATTTCCCACGATGCCTTGCGGTGGAAGGACAACAAACAGTCGCAGAACCGGCTCGTTTAACAGAATTAAAGCCATACACCGGGCATGAACGCACACATTTCATTCATCGTCAGAGCGCTTCATGACGACACTTCAGTCAAACACAGCAGAAATGAGATTCGGCTGTGATTCGGAGTCAGTGCGCTTCTGTTCTGTCGCGCGGCT